GGCAGCCGTCACGCGCCGACGCGTTTGCGACACTGAAGGCGAAACGGGCGGGAGCCTGGCAGCTTTTGCGACACGTCCGGGCCGCAGGGGGCTATGGAAAGGGATGGTCGATCCGTCCCTTTACGGCCTGCATTGTGTCCCCTAAGCGCAGATCCGTGCTCCTGCGTAGAGCCTGAATGACATAATTTGACCAGTTGAGAAATGTCAGGGTCAGGGCCAAATCTGCATTGTCTTCCCAGGCAGGGATTGTGGCGTGTTTCCTTCCACTCCCATTTCTTTCCTCAAACAGCTTTATTGCTTGCACTATGTGTTAAACTTAAAAAACAGCAAATGGTCTGCTAGCACTTTATAGACGAACAAAACATGTAGATGGTACCATGAGCTTTCGTGGACATCACCGTTTAAAGCTCATGATACCATCTACATGTTTTGTTCATCTATAAAGTGCTAGCAGACCATTTGTTGTTTTTTAAGTTTATCCTGTACAGACTAACTCAGCTACTCCCTGAAGCCACTATTTGATCTGAGGAAGTGGGTCTGTTGCATAAATTGCTGGTTTCGTCCCCTTGGAGGCTAGTCTGATTTACCCCAAGAAGAGAGTCACACTTTCAGGCTGGGTCCAACTCAAGTTTATTGGTTGCAACCAAGGTACGGCTAAGGAACTCAATGTTCAAAGCAGAGCCGACCCTGGGCGTTGGCTAAGCATCCTTTTTTATACTTTCTTTAACTTTCTTATCTAACTTGGCACGTCTTGATTTGTTACCTTAGCTTCGTGTTGCCGCGTTATTGGTTAGCATATTTCAACTCTATTCCATTCAGTAACAACCACCAGTATAGCTTACTTAAGCAATAGCAATTAGCAAATTCCCCTAACTCAAGTAATACGTGTACTCCAGTCCTTGAGAAATGGGTCTAAACAGCTAGTTCCTCTACAGCTTCTAAAACATGCGCAATCGGCTAAATGATACGTACTGTTTGAAGCTTAAGTAATGGAAAGGGGAAGAAGCACACATAGTTTTTACTATATTTTACTACAGGTCTGGCCCACGAAAGCTCATCATCTAATAAACCATCTTGTTAGTCTTTAAAGTGCTACATTGTCCTGCATTTTGCTGAAGCTACTATTTGTTAAGACATAGCACTGACTGTCCCTCTGCTGGTGCTGTCCTGAGCCCTCAAGTTCTCCCGTTGTGTACCTCTCCCAGAGCTGAAGAGCTCAGAGGATGCTTGAAAGCTTGTCTCTTTCACTAACAGCATTCAGGGCTCAAGCATAATTTTTTCCCCACCCAGTACAAACTTGTAACTTGGGCCCCCTCCCCAGGGCTGTCCCTAGGGAGCCCGAGAGCAACCCTCCCACCCCTCCCCCAAGGCAACCAACCCCAGGCCTACCCCTGTAAGCCCCACACATTCTGGGTGTGGTATACTGGCCCCAAGACCACTCACAACAAATAATGACTGCTCTACAGCCTTAACTAATAGCTAACTCCCTTTTAGTTCATGTGATGATGTTCGTGCACTAAGCTCCAGGGGTCCTAGATTCAATTCTGCCAACAGATGACAGGGGTCTGTTGGTGTTTGTTACATTCCCCTCTTTTTCTGCCCTTGCCCCAATGCCACTCCACTCCTTCCAGCAAGACCCACCCTTGCTCCATCCCTGCTCTGCCCCGCCCCCTGGTCTCTTGCACTCCTTCCCTGAAGCTACGTGACCTAGGGAATTAGCAGGTGTGGGTAGCAGTAGGGGGTCGCATCTCCTTACCCCATACTCACCATGACGGAAGGAAGTGAAGCACCCCAGTCTCTGCTCACTGAGCTCCTCTCCCCTAAGCCCTGCATAGCTCCGGGGAACCAAGCAAGCTAGGATGTGCCACTTCTCACTGCTGCAATGAAGCAGAGCAATCCAGCTGGGAGATGGCAGTAGAACTGTGCAGGCTGCTGCATTCGTCGCTCCGCTTCCCAGGCTCCCGCCACAGTTAGTGTGTGTGGGGGGGGGTGATCCCTGTTGCTGCCCCGCACCACCCACGTGGGTTCCCATCAATATGGGGGACTATCCCATCCATAGCACGGTTGGGGAGGAGGGACCACTGCAGGACCTCCCCAAAGCACGGAGCCCCAGGGTGGCTGCCCCAAATTGTCCTATGGACAGTATGGCTGGTCTGCTTCTCCCATACACATACCACAATTTTCAAGGTAGTTTGGGTCCCCCAGGGGCTCCAGGGTCTAGTATAAGTGTACCATTTTCACCACCACCAATGCAGTAAGGGACTTTACTGCATTGGTCCAATAAAAGATTTTACCTCACCCATCACCT